AAATTCTTGATAAAAACAGCTATAGACAAACAAAATAGGACAAATACCAGAAATTGATTAATCAACAGGAAATCTCTGTCTTCCATTCTACCCATCAAAAAAACAAAGAAACACAGAGCCTGGAATTAACAAATGCTAAAAAAAAAAAAAAGGACGTTCAATGTATATAATTATTAACAAATAATAGCCAATATAATCATTGAATGTAGCACATTTACATGATTGATATGTTTATTTTTTTTTGGAGGGGGGTAATTAAGTTTATTTCTTTGTTTATTTTTAGAGGAGGTACTGGGGATTGAACCCAGGACCTCGTGCATGCTAAGCATGCGTTATACCACCGAGGTATATCCTCCCCTCTATCCCTTCTTGTCCCTCCTTTTTGAAATGTGTCCTCCACTGGGCATCTATGATGTTGCTTCCCTGGTTTACCTCTTAGATCTGCTCAGTGTTCTCTTACATTTCTTACTGTTTTTCTGCTTCCCCTTAAACGCTGGTAGTTTTCAAGGTTCTTCCTGAGCCAGCTCTCGTTTAACTCTACTCCACTCCTGTGTCTGTTTACCATCTATTGATTTATGCTTCCAGATATGCTCTGCGTCTGAAGGTACAGTAGCACATCTCAAGTGGATGTCCCATTGGCAGCTTCAGTCAGTTGGGTTTTATATTATAGAGAGTAAAATCGTTTAAGCAGAAAGGGGAGGGGGTGGGATGTATAGCTCAGTGGTAGAGCACAGGCTTAGTATGCTCCTTAGAAAAAGGAAAAAGAAAAGCGGGGAGGCGAAGGTAAAGAACAGACTCCCAGGAACAACTACCGAGAGACCCTAGTGTTCCTCCCACCTTCTGGAGGCCACCTTCCATGCCGTGATGTCACCACCCAGGCTCCAGACCACACTGGCTCTGCTGGAATCCACACCAGCAAAACGGATCCTCACTCCCTGCCTCCTACTTCACTTACCTTGGATTTCAATTCAAGACTTATGCTAGTGCGTATGGTGGCTGGAACCTCAACCCCAACCAAACTCTAGCTGTAGAAGCATCTGGGGTATGTAGTTTTTAGTTTTTCACACTCTCTAGTAGAGGAAGGTGCACAAGGAGAAAGAACATTTGAATAAATGTTGAGTAAGCTAAATTGCCTTTGCTATGCGTATGTAAAATTGAGTCATCTTCCTTGCAAGTCTATCCCATCCTAGGACTGTGTTGTTACTGTCACCCCATTACCCAATCGAAGCAAGTATGAGTCACCCCCAGTTTCTTCAGTGTCTTTCCTTGCCTCACCTTGATTCCCAGTATGCCTGCACGAATGTGCATGCACACACACCCACACACACCCTTTGTTGCCAAAATCCTGTTGATCTTACCTCTCTAATATCTTTCAAATTCATCCACTTCCTCCATTTTATTTCCATCACC